ACATGCACATGCAATAATAAAAAATAAAGTTTTTTTATGCGATAAAAAAAATAAAGTTTCAAACTCAACTTCGTTTGCTCTTCTCATTATAAAAAGGTCAAACAAGGTTTGATAAACTAGGACACAAACTCAGTAGCTTCAAAATTTCCTATGTCTTTCTCACTCTTCCCCAACCCTTTCGTCTCTTTCACATTGCTCCATTGGCAGCACCCGTAACTCTCCCACTACTTGTGACTCTTGGGCTTTTATAGGGTGGTCGATTTTAGGAGAGCTTGGAATGAACTGGTCGGTTTTAGGAAAGCTTGGAGTGGAGCGGTCGATTTCATAGGATGAGCCTACCTTAATGTGCTCTATGGTCTAGGCCACTTGGTCCGTTTGACACTTTTAGAAAGACAAATGGAGAATGTATTCCCTCATGGAAATCTATTCCTCAATCACGAATTTATATTCTGCTTCAATGAGAAAAAGAAAAAAAATACATAACAATGGATCTTCTGAAAAATATATATATACTTTGGTTGGTTTTGAGTGCTCAACTTAGTTCGCCTTTCTTTTGCAAATATAAGATAATTACTTTACATCAAATTAATTGACTGCATTGAAAATTACAAAAACATTGTTGCATCACACAATGTCCAATAGCCACGGGGTGTGAGAACGTGAATTGAAAAATGTCTCACATTGTAAAGTTAGACAAATCTAGTAAGGGCTTATAAGGAGTTGGATTACTCCCCCATAACCAATTAGTTTTGGGATGGAACCTCAACTTCCTTCACCAGATACCAAACACTATTTCCCCTTGTTTTTCTTCCAACATGTTTGTCATACTTGAGATTGATATTGCCGACACATTTGTTAACATGCTTTAAGTTATTTTTAATTCTTATCAATACAATTTCTTAACTTCTATAAGGCTACAAAGTAAATTAGATGTCTTGATATTATAATTGATTATTATTGAGAAAATGTCCTCATCTAATATCTGAGGATTTTGCCTTAGTTGAACTATAACAGCTAGTATATGTTAAACTACATATAATATATTGAATGTCATATACCACGGTACAACGACATGTTATAAGTATCAAATTCGATCATTGGTCCTAGAAAATTAAAACAGAAAGGGATCATGCATGCTTGTGTTTAATTGGATTTTATGTTTTAGCTCACCTTAATTCTTGGTTACGAAATTGATCAACAATTTGTTCATCAATCTAGTCGGTCGTTTCGTTCATGCGTCATCACTAGACATTCATGACTGTTGTAGCTTCTTCGTTACAGCATATTCAATGGAGATGTCAAATGCAAAATGTTAAGTAGAATTTGATGGCTTATGTGGCAAACGAAAAAATTTGCTTTTGACATATCTCTTTCCACTTCCAAATTCATGTAGGATTGAACGACTCGGTTGGAGTAACTTTAATCTTTAATTTTTGTCATTTCATGTCAATGTGGCAATTTGACATCTCCACACTGACCAATTTACTTTTCATGCTTTTGATGAGTGGGATTGATTTCTCTTTACCAAATCAAATAAAATAGAAAATATTCTATTTATTACTTTGCAAATAACAAATGAAGAAATGCCATTATGCCAATGATCCAGCTACACTTAGGACTTAGATAGCTTCCTTAGACCATCTCCAACCATGTTGGGGCTAGACTCAAATTTTCACCTTCCAAAATACAACTATTCATGTATTTTTAGGACTCAAAATTTTTTTTCCTCCAACCTTGCAGACTCATAATTTGAGTCCGCAACTTTATTAAATTGTTTAAGAATGATTAACCCTTAAATTTTTTTTCTTGTTAATTTTTCTTGATATTATTTTTGTTTCAATACTCGTGATTTAATTTTCTAAACATTTTAACCTAAATTAGACCAGACCAATTTGGTTTGATTCCAGTTCTGGTTCTTGTAGTGAAAAAACTGAATGGAGCCAAATTAGAGCGGCTGTGTATTTTTTTTAAAGTTTTTAATAAAAATATTTAAACCGAATGCTAAATTTCTAAGCTTATAACTAATCTTTTCAAAAGCCCAACTCAAAATCACCTCTCTTTTCTAGGTCCAATCACCTCCTTTTGCTTGAAATTTGGCTATTTGTGAATTTTTAAGCCAAAAAAAAAGGCTTGTTGGGTTTTGTGAAAAAAAATAATTTGATTCAAACAAATTTATATATATTTGGTCTAATTATGGACAAACCAGACTAGATGAACAGTTCTGATTCCGATTTGGGGTGAGAAGCAGACCGTGCCCACCTAGTATAAATTCACATTGGCCAAATCATTCACTCATAGTGAACACCAAATAATAACTTTACTCACAAGGAGAAATTCATTGAAACAAACAAACAAATCGAAGAAAATAAGATTGTAATGTGAAAATTATACACAATTTCTTAATATTTGAGTTGCCACATCATACTGAAATTTACAAGATGTGAACAATAATTGTTTATCTTTATTTTTTCTGATGTGTCAGAAATCTTAGCATTATTTCCCTCCAAATTACAGAGGGTATATTCAATTTAGATTTTAAATGATTTTAAAAGAGTTATAAAGTTGATGGAGTTTAATTGAATTTAATTGAGTTTGACTGAATTCTACAAACTCCACATAGATTTTGACTGAATTCGTGTATAGATTTTAAATGAGTTTGTTAGAATTTTATTATTGATTTTAATGGAGTTTATAGCAATGGCGGTGGTGGTGATGGTGATGGTGGTGATGGCAATGGCAGTGGCGATGGTGGTTTGTGGGGGAGGTAGTGGTGGAGGAGGTGGGGGTGGTAGTGGTGGTGGCGGTGGGAGTGAGGTGGTGGAGGAGGTAGGGGGTGATAGTGATGATGGTGGTGGGAGTGAGGTGGTGGAGGTGGCGGTGGCAGTGGCAATGATGGTGATGATGCTGTCAGTGGCGGTGGTGGAGGTGGAGGTGGAGGTGGAGGTGGAGGTAAGGGTGGTGGTGGTGGTGGAGGTGGGGGTAAGGGTGGTGGCAGTGGTGGCAGTGGTGATGGAGGTGGTGGAGGTGGGGGCTAGTTAGTGGCGGTAGCAACGACAATTACTGTGGTGGTGGTGATGGTGGTGGCGGCGATGATGATGACTGTGGTGGTGGGTGGAGGCGGGGTGGCTATTGTGATAGTCATGATAGATGGTGGTAGTAGAAGTGGTGAAATCATATCTTGAGAATAAAAATAATATCTATCAAAATCTCTAGGGAGAAGCAAAGATTTGTCATAGCCTAAAATTAGTCTATTATCAAACGAAATCCACCATTTTTTGTATTTCCTTTAAAACAATGAGTTTTTGAATACACCCAAACTTTTATGAAGTCTTTTAAAGTCGTGATTGAATACATCCAAATTTGAATGGAGTTTAAAAAGTCTGAATTGAATACACCCAGAATTGAATAGACTTCTATAAAATCGTGATTGAATACACCTAAACTTTTAAACTTCTTTAAAATCTTTTAAAATCTAAATTGAATACACCCCCCTACAACTTCACATAACTTTCCTCTTCCAACAGTATTTTGTGAACTATTTTCCATAAAATCTCTTCTACTCACAACTATTTACTGCCTTTTTGTCATTTGTTTGACTCGGTTCATATTACAAGGCCATAAATATGCACTAATTTATTTTGTGGTGATATCTTCAAGGCATATGGGTTCTGCACCTGTGCTTTTAAGCTAAGGATCGTCGACGGGAGAGAGAAATAGGATGATTGAAGAATAACTTAGCATGGGATATAAATTGGCATCAAGAAAGTGAGCGTACTGTTTAACTGCAATATCTCTTCCTGGGAGGTCACTAGAAAGGAAGTCAAATGGTGCAGGCTTGCTGGTGTCTACCAAGGGATCCCATCTGTATCCAGGCCTCTCTGGCAGTGTAATGGTTGCGGGTAAATGGCTGGCATTGAAAGCAATATACAGCTCTCTCTTCACTGAGTCCATCTGGATCAACACGTAGAGTCGTCAAAAACCAGTAAAATAGTGAACTTCAAAATTACACCCCCAAAACTCAAAACAAACCAATGAGATCCAAAAGGGAACTATTAACCTCAATAATAACAAAAACCTGTTACTCCTATGATGCCCATGCTGCTAAATGTGGCAATTTCTTAGACAAGGTTTGCATGTGAGGATAAATACTTTTCATTATCCAGCCTAATTCGTAGACTGTCTCAACCATACATTTAAACAAGAATTCAACTTATCAATGGTCAAGATTCATAGTATACATATATTTACGACTGTACCTATATAGAATGGTGATCTAATGAAGACTTAAGTTGAGGGCCTATTTATGAAGGCATAAGGGGGCTGTGGAAATGCGAAATCTTCCATTTTTTATCCATTTCACCAATAAACGAGATACATTAATTAAGATTTGATTCTAAATTGCATTAGTGAGATTGGTTAATACCAGAGTAAAGGCAACAAAGCGGCTTCTTTCAGACCAGTCTGGTACCCCTGGAGCATGACCGTGCCACTGCAGCCTCTCTGCTGTTGGGAAGTCATTTAAGCCCAGTGACTCGCATTCCCTGCATAACTCACATTAAATAAGGAGATACAAAACGTCTGTCAGAAAGCAAAGTATAAATGATTGCAATCATGATATAGTACTTACTGGCGGAATTTGGTCATAAGGCAGCAAAATCTGAAAAAGTCCAATGAGGACTCTTCCTTCTTATCCCACCGAAAGTAATTAATCTGCAGCACAGCAACAACCATAATAAATAAAGAAAAGGGTTTGACAGAAAGAGTATGGACAAAGGTGTAGAAAAATACATAATTATCATGGCAATATGTGTTGTTGTTTCCTCCTTTTGTATGACCATATTCATCACCCATAAATATCATTGGAACACCCTTGTAAATAACAGATAAAATGAAATACGTTAGTCAGTAAGCAGACAAAAAGTAAATGCAATCCTCAGCATAATCGATCTAGAAAGTGCCGCGTTTAAACAATATATGCAGGGCAATATAGAATTGTGCTCCAGAAACTACATGATGCAAAATCAAGTTTAATGAACAATTTAGGCTCTTTTGTTATCTTTAGAATGAGAATTCAAAAGGATCCATTCGACACTGTCGGGGTATTACAAATTGCCCTTATTTCCTTGCACTGAATGAAAGCAAACCAACTCTAATGCTATACTATTTTGGTGTCCATGAACTTTGTAGATGCCCATGCCCCTTCCCAGTTAATTGAGAATGTGGGTACAGACATCCTAAAGAACAAAAAAACTCAGATTTACATTACAAGAAATCAAAGCCAACATAGACATGTTATAATGAGTAAATAGAGGTCATTGTAGTCCAAATGAAGAGTCCCAATATAAAACGCACTATAACAATAGCATCTTACTTGGGAAACCATGAGGCACACAATAAAATTCCGCATTTGTCGTTTCCTCAATTTCTTCACTGAAATGCTCACGAACTCTCCCTCCTAATTGAGTTAAACTGGATGATAATTAGTGTCATAGAGTAGTACCACATCCATGGAGTACACATCTAAGATACAAGCACAAAGTCTAGCTCTTGACTATAAAGCCCATAGTGCATTCTATCAACAGATTGAACAAATTAATTTCTTCTCAAGTAGCTTTCCTGTAAGATTGTGCTAGGATCTGGTTTCTAAGATAATCCTTTTCATTTGCCAATGGGTTCAGACATAAAGACAAAAGCACCACAGATGTGGGATTTGTGTCTCCCATAAGCTCATGATAAGCATCTTTTCCTTCTTCATGGGTAATCAAACTATTAAAAGCAGGAAGAAGAAAATATGAAATAGATTTCCCATCAAACAGATTATGAAACAACCGAAAAGTATGGGAAAAAAGGGATGGAATATAGGTGAAAAGAAAAGTGAAAGACAAAAAGGGCAAAATATATGTCAGAATAAAGCCAGATGATATACTCTAGGCCTTAAGATTTCAGGATGCATGATCATAAGGCTTTTACAGTTGTGGTGACATTATCACAAAGATTAACACGGGCATCAAACAAAAGCTGAATCCAACTATCAGAAAATACATGTTTATCGATATTTACCTGTCCACAGTTCCAGCTATTATTATGACTCTCTCCATCATTGTTGTCTTCTCCATTTGCCAGGTTATGTTTATTGTTATAGGTAACTAAATCAGCTAAAGTAAAACCATCATGTGCGCAGACAAAATTGATACTATTCCATGGCCTCCTTCCCCCTTCCTGGTCCAAAGATATAATGAGGAGTGTTACTGAGATAACGAAGAAGAAGAAGCATAAACATAATGTTCTAAATTCCAGGGATAGAATTCTCAAATATTAAATTCAGGAGGCATAACTCTGAGATTCAGACAAACGAGGAACAAGGGCCTCGCTTACTTTTCAAATATTTTCACATTCAGTAGTTCGGGAACTTTCCTTTCACGCCATAATTTAATATGAAAGGCTTACATCTATTTCTCTACCATCACAACCCCAAAACCCAAATTGTTTACCGAGCCCCAACCCACCACAAAAGCAGTTGTAGGAATCTTACCCAACATGTCGTCTATCAACACTGCTCAAAAGCTGGCTTGTGGAGTCAGGATTTAAACAATATGAAGGAAGATAAAAATGAAATGTTTCTCAAGAGAAGAAATGAGGATAGATGAATTGACATAACAGACCACATGAATAGTACATCACATAAAAAGGTCTAATAGTCATCGTCAACTGAAAGAGACAGGCAAAACTTAAATTACCTGGTATAAATTAGGGCTTCCACAAAGACATTCAGCCAAAGCGCCAGAAAATCCATCTGTGCCCTTGATAAACTGCCGCACTGTGTCACGATACTGAAAATTACAGGAATTTACAAATTAAATTAAACTAAAAATCACAGTAAAACAATATGCATGCATAAATGGCTTTATGACTCATCTATAAAGTACTCCATGAACACCTGTTAGCAGGTTTCAGGCCTCAACGATTCTAGAGAATAAAGACTTCTGACAACAAAGGAGGTTTTAAAGTAAAGCCAAAGTTTCCCTTTTGAATATCAATGCATTTCCTTGCTGGTTATCAATTTTGATGAGATAGATCAACCGGCAGAAAGTGTGAGATGCTAATGCCAAAAATAAGAATAATTAGAGATGGTTATGACGATCAAAATCTCTGCATTGGAAGATTGTTTAAGAGTCAATCCGATAAATCAATTCCAGATCGATGAATTCTTAGGTATAGGATACAGAAAAGTCAACTCCTCAGTACTATACATGAAGAGGTGCCAACAACATGAGAAAGAACTGTAAGAGATTCTGACGCATGAAGCTCTCCAGAAATTTCAAGCAGATATAGGAAGAAATCTCTTATTTCTAATTTAATTGCTAAATCTGAAGCAAAGTTATGTGAAACATCGTTGTGAAATCGATAAGCAAGCAAAGTTGTCACTTGTCAGAATCAGAAGGTTGGATTGGACAGCCAAAACCCATTATGGATGTACGCTACAACTTAGGTTTTAATGTTTAATGGCACATCCTTTCCAGCTAATTGTTCAGCAGGTTCTATAACAGCGGGGAAAAGAAGAGTGGGTCAATTAGGATCCCTACACATTTTGTGTATTTTGTGTTTTATTCTGTCATCGTGTTCTTTATCTCAGTCACTGTGGATAAATCAAAATGATGTATAACAGTGTAACATCTAAACATACCTTCCCATTCCATTCTGACCAAATACCCCAGTGAGGAAACATGCCAACTTGGTATAGGCCTCCTGTATCCCATGCTTCAGCTATAAGCTGTTTGAAAAACAGACAAAGAAAGCTCAACCAGTAAACCTTTTAATACTAGCAGATACCAATAAAAGGTAAATTCATACGCAGGATCGAATCATAGAAACCAGTAAGCTAAGTTCATGTGCAGGATCGCTATAACTAAAGCCAAATTCTAGAAACAAGATTACAAAAATGACAAGGGAAATTTTTATGAAAAAATTCAAAACAATTTTAGTAAAACAAAGGATATGTGACACTCCTGGAAGCACGAAGAAAATTTAAAATATATGTACACGATTTGAGAGTAGCACCAACAGGCACTGTTTCTAGTCTATAAGCATCTCTCAGGAAACAAATTTTATTGTAATAGACAATAAAATACAGAGATGGCCAAGGTGGCCACAAACTATTTTATGGCATATTAACGATTAATAAGAAAAAAAATGAGTACGTCACGTTAGATTTACTGTTAAGATGCTACTCATTGCATGTAGTCACAAACTTGCTAAAATAATAAATCTAAATTGATTAAGAACGGAATGGATTAAATGGGTTTTTGAAAAACAGACCAAGGTGAGATAAGTTCCATATTCACCTAATGCATTGGCTCTAACAGCCTGAATTAGACATTCACAGGAATAGCCGACTGTACCCAATACTCTATGTTCTACAATGTAGACATTGGGACATTGAGGAAGCTTGAAATGTAATTTTTTTTGGAGCACGTAAATTTAATGTATCAAAGAGGCTACTTCAGTTTCACATGGCCCTTAGAAATTTTAGAAATACTGATAAAGAATATGTAAGTTATATTAAAGAAAGGTCTAAAGTCAGAACCTTCACTCCATGAAGTATTGGGTCATTACTTATCATGTCAACCAATGGTGGGTTAGCAAGAGGGGTTCCAGTTGTCAACAAGTCACCTTCTATTGGAACTCCGTATACATTAGTTGCATCCCAGAGACTGTGGACAAAGAAGCAAAAATAAAAGGAATGAAATGAACACCAATTTCCTGTATAAACTGATTTGGAACACACAGCATCTAGCAGATAACCTGCTACCCCTCGTCATAATAGAAGCAAGATCAAAGCGGAACCCATCCACATGCATCTCTGTTACCCAATATCTGTTGCACAGAAAAGAAAAACAATGACCTTTCAACCTTTTGGAATATTGAAGATGATGGTTGCAACAAACGAAAATAAATACATGAATAGTTAAAAATAGCTGAAGTCCAAAATTATATATATGAAACCAAAACTATATTAAACTGATCAAAGGAAAATGTTAGAGACGCAGTTTCGGAGAAACATGATAGAAGAGAAGATAGATAACAGGCACAACAAGAAGAAAATGAACAAGATTGATTCAGATATAGCAGTGGCAAAGCATCACATTGGTCTGGTGCCCAATATCTTATCAAAAAAACACTTACAAACGTAATTTACGGTCTTTCTTAACTCAAGAAGTTTTCATTGATCTGGAACAGTACCCTTTCATTTTATTTTCAAAGGTGCTCCATGGTACTTTTCAGCCTTATGCTGCATATGCTAAGTTTAATAACTCTAAACAGCTGACCAACAACGGCCCTTCATGTGGTCCAAAAACCCTCCATTCACTTCATTTAATTGTTTCATCTTTGAACACTAAATATTTATTTCATGAACAACAGAAAGTAGTGCTTGGCTTTCGACAATGCAGATTATCTCCGCAACTATAAATAGAAATCTTCACAGATATCAAATCCACTATCGCATGTTTCAATAGCTGGGAAATTCTATGTGATAAAATCAAGATTGGACAGTTTGAAAGTTCTACCTCAAGCAGTCTACTATAAACTGTCGCACAACAGGATGGTTGCAATTGAATGTGTTACCGCATCCTGAATAGTTATAGAACTCTCCCTGTTAAAAAGAAAAAAGGGAAATAGATTTAGTTCCCAGAATCTGTATAAAGAGACATCGAATCAGAAAATATGGCATGAGAAAAATGTGATAGAATTTTTCAGTTTACAATGCAGACTCTTGTTGTGTCTGTTTTAGTAGATATTTTGGAATATGATTACAAACAAAATGCAACAGCGCTGTAATGTTCTGCTACTTCATTTCAGAATGACCACTCAATAGCTACAAAATTCATGAAAAGAAACATGGAGTGCAAAATCGATCATAAGGGGATAAGTAGGATACTGATAACATTGAATGAGCCACCATGGACAGAGAGGTGCCAAATCGGCCCACCACATGAGCAAATAGCTTAAAAGGGCATGCCATGGTAAAAATGGAATCTTATTTCGGATTTCTACCAGATGTTATAATTGGTGAGACTGGTAAAACACTTGCAGTTTAAACCAATTTACCCAAAGCCATAAGGTGCACATCATTCCCTTAACAAATACTTTCAAACTATAACTTTCTGAAAGAGTAAAAAGTAGTATCAAAGTAGTATCAAGTCAAAGCGCACAAGACAAGTGTACTGATTTCAGAGTTATACCTTAGGTGCAAGCATGTAATAGATACTATTATCAGCGCCTCTAAAAGACAAAATTGGACCATTTTCATTCCCTTCAGCTGTGTGATTGAAGACAACATCCATGATCACCTGCATTAATAGAACTATTTTACAAATCTTCAAAATGAAATCTCAATGAAAGAAATCTGAATAATATTACTATTAGCTATCACCTCAATTCCTCGTTTATGTGCTTCTTTAATAAGAAACTTGACTTCATTTATTGCATCACGGCCACAATTACGTATGCCAGCAGATGAATATCTTATCATTGGTGAAAAGTAATTGACAGTTGAGTATCCCCAAAAATTTACCCTGGCAAGAAATGAAAATTGATTTATACAATAAATAGACTGCAATGTACCAAGATCATTTGCTCCAGATTCTAAGAAGTCCAAAGTTGAAAATGTTAGGCCCCATTTTGAATTGCTTTTTAACACAGTGCATGCACTCTTGTTTTGAAAAAGCACCCATTAGTTGATTATACCCTATAAAGTCAGCTTCTATAAATTTTGCTTTCATTAGATTCATAAGTATTGTACTTGTAGTCACCCAAGACAGAATTGTAGCCGAAGTACTCCAGCTCATTGAACTCATGACATGGCATTAACTCTATACAGTTGATCCCAAGCTCCTGAAAAATGAACAGAACCTAATAAGAACATCCAGAAATCAACATGTATCATATTATTTTATGATCATCACAATGAAACTGCTGGAGTTGATAATACATAACTTGGTGGTTAAACACTTAAATAACATGAATGTAGTAAATAAGATCATTCCTCTTTATCCTCATATATATGACATGATGATTCTTCTTTAGTTGGGAACACATATATACCACCTGTTATATGATGAAATAAATCTCCCTAGGAAGCCTTTTGCATTTTTCTTTTCTTTTCTAGAAGCTCTCTGAACTGACCTTTAAGTGATCAAGCTTCTCCACCAAACCATGGTATGTACCAGGCAATTCAGCCATGCTTGACTCATGCCTTGTGAACCCTCGCACATGGATTTCATATATGATAAGATCTTTTTGTGGATACTTCAGCGGTAAATCTCCTTCCCAGTCAAACTGAAATCAAATGGAAGAAACAGTGTTGGAAAATATTCCTCATCATAGAAAAGAAATGCAATACGATTCATTGGCAAACTTTTGTGTTGTGTAAGAATAACTCTTTTGAACTGACTTTCCTCAAAGATTTTCATGGGAGTGAAAATACAAGTCATAGGTTTAAATTGACATTGTTATTTATACATTGTATAAGAAAAAGTTTAGAGAAAAAAAAAAAAAACAAAAAGAAAGAGAGAATAATGGAAAATCTGAAGCAAGAGATAAATGTGAAACCAGGTGTGAGTTGTTACCAAATTAGAATTAAGACAGAACATATGAGCACTGTACCTCATCATCAAAAGAAGGTACCGTGCCGGCCATTTGAGGCCAGTAATTACCATCAGGACTTAGCTTCCCATATTCCCCTCTGCGTATAACTGCCTAGACAAATTTAAAACGTAAAATGAAGTCTGAGCCTTCATAGGTTAAAATCAAAAACGAGTTATCCATAGGAAGCAAAAAAGTTTATTATTTTACAACGGGGAAAACAAACCGCACAACTCAAATGAATTTATAAATAAAAGATGCACTGCCAGTCATTGAGGTCAATCACCTTTGCATAAGGATCCAACACAATCTTAGAAGAGTCATAGTAAAGTCCCTCTTCAGGAGAAAACTTCCCTTCGAATTTATATCCATAAAGTGTATCTTTGAAATCTCCCTTCAGAAACACATGCCACACATTTCCAGTCTTGTTGGTCAAAGGATCAAGAGATAACTGCTCAGTAACTTTATCCTACATCAATAAATATCAATGATTAATTAATGAGGTACATAACACAAATTAAGAAACCCAACAACCCAGAAGTTTCAATTTCAGTTCAGTTAAGTGTAAAACTCAAAACACAAATACACAGCCACTAAAAAGCAATCTTTTGGGATTTTAGCTACCACAAATAAGTTTTCATTACAAATGATTACAACAGTATGAGAAATTGGCAACAAATTTTCAATTGAATTCATGATTACCTCCTCTAAATCGGAGAGAGTGATCAAACAGAGAGTAACCGAAACCGCATTGGCGGAATAAACAGCGAAGTTAACCCCACCATCGCGCGTTGTGGCACCGAACGGGCTCGGATGACCCTGGAACACCTGAAAACGACGCAGTTTTGGCCTGTCGACGACCGCAGTCTCCACCACATCAGTCCCTGCCCCTCCATTACTTGCCTTCACCACCAACACCGGAGCCTCATTGCCAAACCCTCGCATCCGCCAATTCAGACTCTTCTTCTTCTGATTCGGCTTTTGGCGCCTTGCATTGGAAAAAGCAATGCGTTGGGGGTTTTGGAGAAGAAGATGATGGAGCTTGGGAGCAGTGGACCATGTGCTGCAATTCGTTAGCTGATGCTGCTGCTGCTCCATTGGTTCATGAGTGAGAGTGAGAGTGAGAGCGAGAATGAAGAGTGAAGAGTGAGAGTGAGAGAAAGTCTTGATCCTCTTTGTTTGGTTTGGATGGTAGTGAGAGTTAATTTGAGCATTTGGAAGCACATTTGATGTGCTTTATCGGCTATTTTTCGATCGCGAACAATATCTGTGAGTAGATCAGCACCACGAAAGTTAAGGGCTTGGATTAAGGTGGACATAGTCTAGATTGGATCGGTTATAAAATAACAGTTTTTTTTCGTCAAAGAGGTTTGTACTCAAAGTGTGCTTGCACCCGAAGTCTGTTTTCGAATTCCCTCCACCAATATCAAAATATAAAATAAAAAACTGTTTGTCTTGTAAAGTCAATAATGGAGCACAAAATGGTAGAGCTCACTACTTAATTGATTGAAGAATAATGATGATGCTTGTTTGCCAAACATTCGAGTGAAGCCAAATGTTTGTGAGTGAACGGCCAATATTTTGGCCTATAAATAGACATCTCCATCAGTAGAAAATAGATCTCTCCAGAAAAAGGATGAGAGTACACCAAGTGAGAAATAAAAAAAGCCCCAACAGAGAAGGAAGAAAGAGGAAGAGTGAGAGGACAGAGCAGAGAGAAAAATCAGTGAGCCAGTGAGATTGTAAACACTAAAGATGTAGCCCTATTATTTTACATAGAAAAAAGTTACTTCTACTGCTCTTCGAGGATGTAGGTATGGCCGAGCCTCTTTTAAGTCTTATTTAATTTACTTGTAGCTCAGTATTCCCGCATATACCGTTCATTTTACAACACATTATCCGCACGAGAAGCTCTCATGTATAATTTTCTGTGCTGTACTATTATTTATACTACTAACATTGTGTTGATGGAAGGAAGAACAGTAGTGGAGGAGCTATGGTCTGCTAGAGAGAGGAAGCTGCAAAAATGATAAGCTTCATGTCTCTTTACCTTATTCATTTATTTTATTGATATTCTATACTATTCAATACCACTTCCTCATACTTGACCATACAAAGAGAGTTTGTAGCTAGTGGCAGGTGAGAAAGCAACAAGATTGGAAGCATACGCATATGCACAAAGACCAATTTAACTTGGTAATGATGGTCCATGTTGATTTGCACTTTGATATGACCACTATATATATAATATGAATATGGAATGATGATTTGATGAGAATATAATATATTATATTTATTTACTTTCCTATTACTAACCACTAATAAAATAGACCCTTAATAATACTAACATATTATCAGTGGGAGGCCGTTAGTAATACTAACACTTTTCTTACTTTATTGTTAAGTGGCAGTTTTATACCCACATTTACTTAATTTACAATATGGTGTAATTTTATTACCCATACAACAGTATTTATTTAAAAATGTGGCACGGGTTTATCATCCACACAATTGCCTTTACTTTTAATTTAAAAGTATAGAGTAGAATTAGTGTCCATACAAGCACATTTACTTTATTATTTAAAATATGGTGCGAAATTAACATCCATACAGTAGGCAATTTAATTTATGAATTTATTTTACCACACATTTACCTTTATTTAAAGTATGGTGCGGGTTTATTGTCCATACCAGCAATTTATTTTATGAATTAATTGTGTGGTATGATGAGTTTTACAACATAAAAAGATCAGGACCAGAAGTTCCTTGATCCTCATCATACATTTACATCAGGACCTGAAGATCCTTGATGATGATAATGATATGAGAGCTGGCAATCTCTCCTGTACTATATTTGTAAACAAGAGATCGGACTTGAAGATCCTTAATCCTTGACATGTAAATGAGGACCTGAAGATGATGTAATAGTACCGTATCAATTAATAGTATAGTACACATGAATAGTAAATGCACTAGCAAATGTATGAATAGTAACCATATACGTGAATAGTGTCGTACACATGAATAGTAATTGTATTGACAAATGTACTGTACGCATGAATAGACATGTATTCATGACTTGATGAATAGTACCATATACATGAATAGTGAAGTATGCATAAATAGTAACCATTTTGAGTAAATTGTCACTATATACAAAAAGGAAACTTGCAGTTCCTTAAACTCATGGATGAGCAATTAAATGAGATACCAGAAGTTCCTCAAAAGATGGACAATTCTGTAAGGGCCTGAAGTCCCAAAGTATGCACAAGAAATTATAAAAATGTCCACACCATGAGAATATGTGATTTTGGCCCGAAGTTCAAAATCTAAGAGTATTGAATGTCCATACCATGAAAATATGTGATTTTGGCCTGAAGTTCAAAATTTGACAATATTGAGAACCTGAAATTCCAACAGTTAAATGGACAACCCTTGAGATATTATTGCAAATTGTGATACACCACATATTTCTTTGGCATAAGAAAATGATGAATTTAATAAAGTTCGAATATGTTACAATCGACACCTCAAGGAAGAAATATATTTTGTAAATTTTGGTTGTTAAAAATACACCGTGAAATGGATAATATCAGGATAAACATCAAATGATGAATTGGGGAAATTTCTATTAAAAGCCTCTTCATCAGACCTTCCTATTAACAGTATTTCATCCATAGGAGTAAGGAAATTCCTAGCTACTATGATAGCAGTCGTATCATTCATCATCACGGAATCAATAACTGTGAGATGAGAATTTTGGGATACAAAGGATGGACGCCAAACTTTGACGTCACGGGTTGTTTTGGGGGCAACATTTAAATCGAAATGTTTTGGGCAAGAAGAAGAGGAAGCCATTTTAAAAAAGGTTTCGAAGGAAGTCTTAGAAAAGCTGAGTTTTCAGGAAATGGAAAGAAGTTGAGTTGAAACGCAGTTACTCCAATCAGGCCTTACAAAGGCAATATCTATAGACGGAAATGAGGCAATGTTTCCAGGATCCCAATATTTTCTCGGATCCCCATATTCTTTCTTTTTCAAATTTCAAAACTTCACGCGACCTCCATTAATGTCTGTCGGCACTTTAGGGGTTTTCAAGGACTATTTTCATCAAAGCTGATCTTGCTTTGCGAATCTCACGAAGTTACTTTTTCAAAGCATCTCGAGAACCTCACAAATTTCCTTAGTTAATTTGAGATTCACCGGATCAAACTGTTCCTCCAATTTGTGTATAAATATGTTACTAATGAAATTTTCGTTGCAGAATGCATCCAATTTTCTCCAATTTTCTCCATATCCCGTGATGCAATATCTACTTATTTTTCCTATCAATAAGCGCTCGGCGTGCTTGAGAAGCGAGACTATCTCTGATCATCCATTCAGGAAGCAAGACTATTTATTCAAAAAAATTCACATACTAGCCAAGGTCATTTCCGTACGAGGTGAATCCGATCTTTCACAAAATTCTCCATGAATTTTCCTATATATATGAGAGAACTTCATCTCATTGCCCGTGATCAGGCAATGACCAACTTAGACCCAACACTCACATAACAAAACATTTTCCATGGTTGACCTTGCCTGAGTTAGTAGACCCCATCTCTTGCCAGGGCAAGAATTGAACGCTGGAACCACTGTTGGAGGAGGCCTTGTACTTGGGCTGGGCTCCTGCAATGGAACAGTCCTTTTTCTTTCTTTTAAATTTTGAATAGGTTGAGAATAGCCAGAAAGGTTAGTTAACAAGTGAGATGACTCGGTTTGGTTTGTTGCATTTCTATCACTCAATAAAATATACTGAATAGTCCAACTTTTTCTAGCAAGTAGTCATAGAAAAACAATAATAAATCCTCTCTGCATGGTGGAACCCTAGTTGCAGCAGTAGTTTGAGTTAAATGCGTCGGAATCAGTTGTACATCTAACGATAAAAACTGCCCCACATTGTCAAGTCACTACTGCTACAGTGAAGTCTGAAACGGCATCTTTTCTTCGTAGAACAAATATTAAATTAATTTCATACAAAAAACTCAAATTGCCAAGCATTTTCCATTATGAAAAACAATATTATTAAATTTATTCGTACCAAAAATTCCAGAAAATCACGGGTTTAGAGATTGCCAGCTCCATATATCCAAAATTCCCCATTCCCATGTGCACATTTGTTGGTGGCTTGTTTGAGTGATCGTTAGTGATTACCACCATATTATATTAACTATTATTTGAGATTTTGAATTTCACAGCCACTACATGCACAAAAGTCCAGGACCTACTACACATCCCCCCATATATGGTCAAACTCTTTATGTGAGATAACAGTTAAATGCTTAAATGTTTAATCAGTTGATTGAGGATGAGGTAGGTATCATGTGTTTGTGTTTTAATATAGGCGGACGATATGTGGTGTGACCGAAAAATCACTCCTTATTATATGACCCGATTGAGTGAGTCACCAAAACCAATGCTTGACGTTTATGTACATGTGCAAAGATTGACTGTAGGATTCTCTTTAACCACAAAATTGAAGAAGATAATTAAATACATGTGAAAGATTGACTACCTTATCTATGACATTAAGCGAGTTCATTGCGGCGGGCACTCGGTTAATTTTTTATTTTATTTTTTTGGTCTCGACAATGAGGTTCTTCCTATTGTGATAAATTTCTATCATTTTGAAAAAAAATAGCTAGACAAAACCGTATTCCCTTTTTAGAGAGTGCAACAGCTACCATGTTTGCCTCTTGATAGATATGGCTTTATACATTCAACGAAGTTTTCAACTATTTCTATCCTAATTTTTTGTTTCTAATTTGTATTTTTTTTATATTCTTTTTGTAACTTTTGAAGAACAAAAAAATAGATAAATAGAAGTGGTATTTGAACATTATGACATGGGTAAGTTCATCAAAAAAACAACATTAAATGCTTTTCCAAGTAAGATGAATTTTTTTTTCTTAAATTCTCCCTTATATGGGAAATTCATACCCATAAGTGAGTTATGTATTTCCTTCCAAATGATGCACTTACCAAACATGAAAAACAATTTCACACCTATTTCTATTTCTAGACATCTAAACCTTGAACCGAATGGACCCTTACAAGTTTTTTGGTCAAACACTATCAAAAACGCTTTTACTCATTTAAGAAACATTATCTTTTGTTGATAAAAAAAAAAACATGAACTTTTCTATAACTTTACTTGCCATAAAATAGTGGAGAGATGAGGAAAGTAGTGGTGTAGATAAAGTGAGTGGAATGGGCCTTCTGGGGTCGCGGAAAGTTCAGCCGTACAATTCCGAAAGGAGTGCCTTGCAAATTTCTGTTTTTGTTTTGAAAGTTTTTCCGTAGCACGTCTCCGTAGCCTCTAAACTACTACTAGTAGTACTATCCCCATGCGGAAATTTTCAGTTTTCAATCAGATCCTCGTCCTCTGTCTTCATCTATAACTCAGCGTGGACCCCGCAGGCAGATGGCATCATGCCCCAAAACTTAATTTTAAATTAAAACCTCTTTAGCTTTTTTCTCCCTCCATCTTGCATGTGAGCTTTTTTTCAATATTACCATTTTGCCCCTCTCTTCTCTCTCCTCTTCAAGTCTTTAATTATTTTTGGAGGCGCATTTTTATATTAAGTCGTACATACATCATCATCACTGTGTCTAATTTTTAAACTGGAAAGAAGTTCATACTTACTACGCATGCTCCTTGCATTATATTCGTCATGTTTATTTAATTTCAAGATTATCAAAATTAACTTGTTTCAATAATTATTTTTTTAATATTTCACCTAAACTCCTAATTTTCTTATGAAATTTTGGTATGTTTTTGTTTTGTTTTAAACAAGCGAGATTTAAGAGAGGTAAGAGTCAAACACATGACTTCAAGTGCACGGATAATATTGTTAACAACTTGAATTCCAAACTCCTTGCAAATCTCGATCCGTTTAATATTCACTAGCACACGCTCACGTGTGTGCCAATTGATTTGATTTGATTTATTTTAAAATTAAGAAAGATGAAATAGGTAGTTATATTCCATAAAAATAGGAACCATTATCTGACTTTGTCTTAATTTTAAATTTTGTATATATGAAAAAAGTTTAAATTTACCATATTGTTCTCATTTAATTAATAATTGTAATAATTTCAATTCTTAATGTTTGCATTAACCAAGAGAATTTTCTAGTATTTTTGATGTTTCACCATTTTCCGCCTTTTACCTTATATATTTAATATTTATAATGTTTCTTGTAACTAAGAAATATCCCTTTATTTCATTTTCCATGTTAAGTTTGTGTAGGATTGTTAAAAAAAAGGTTAAATTTTCCAATTATACCCATATTAGATAAAATAAGAAAATAATGCATTTAATGGTATATTGTAATTCTAAATTATTAATGAAGACAAAATAATCATGAAAAAGGTGCATTTAATGCTAATCTTAGTTTTCCATGGAAAGGGAAAATGAAACCAAAGGGGGTGAATGGCTTCATTTGTCCCATATTTTTCCATGTGACAGACAACCATTTCCTATACCCGGACTTGCCAAATATAGAAAATCATTTGATTTCCCATGTTCAAACCTCATTTCCCATCAACCAAATCAGAAAAACTTATATGAAACGAGATAACACTGTTTTTCTATCCCGACCAATCACGCTATGCTATCCCATCCCGCAGTTGCACACAAGCACCCTATGTTTATTCAAGGGTGAGAAGACACTAACGATCCACTTCCCCCACAAACTTCCTTCCTAGTAAGTTCCATTAATAATACATTGGGCAAATAATGCAATCTCACGTCAACTTCCTTATTTTTGGTCCTACTACCTGAAAGTGGACAATGTTCCATGCAGGCATGGCATCAAGCATGAAGCAGCACAAACACAAATAAACTATAATTAATGGATGCCTGGTAAAGGACTTCTAAATTTTTGAACAGTGGAAGCGACTACATTACCCTTTTAAAATTGAATATGCACAAATAGTAAAATTATATTTATAATATATTATATAAAAGTGCAATCATAAATCATAATATGAAATCAAGTTTTGAAAACCCAACTCCATTCTCATGCTCCAACTGTTCTATTTTCTTCAAAACCAGAAGTGCTTTTGTTTTTTTATATTCATTTGTACAAAATTTACAACATTAAAAATGTAAGAAACATAACTCCCATCATTGTCATTGCGCCAACAGAATTCCTAACCTAACTTGTATGTCAACAACTTCTAAAACCATGACTGTAACATTATCAGCACCTGCACCAAAACAGAGCTAGAAGACACATCTAAAGCCAATGGGTTTATTGATATTTTTAGCCTTTTATATATGCCTGCTTGGACTTCAGATTATAATATTTTCAGAATCTTTCAAAAATCTATGGCAGTAAGTGACCTTTGAAGCCTATATGCTCTACATGGTTGTGGTTGGAATTTTGAGACCTACCCCGCCAACCCCCTTAGCAAACTCGATCTGCATCCACTTTCATAAAATAAAAATTTAGGAAATTTAGAAGGAAACTCCAAGTTCCAAACATGAGAGCTTCTCTAAAATGATCATCTCCCATAGAGGAGAGGAGAGAGACTTTCATGCAACGGGAATAGCACTATTGGCCGGCCCGTTAAAAGAAAGTTTTTCTGCCTAGAGAGAGAACAAAAAGATTGCAAAATGTAAACCAAAATGCATCAGCAAATTAACTAACAGTAGCGTGTAAGCAATTCAATAATCAATAGATGAAAGAGACCAAATTTAATACAAGCACATATATAAATAGTCAACATTAATCATAAAGGTTAAAATTAATTCCAAAGAAAATTTCAATTTCTTGCTAACACAGTTCCTAAGATTTCATCATCATCAACTAACAGCATCATTGAAACAACCTGATGCTTCAAAAAAGAAAAAAGAAAAAAAAGGAGAAGTTCAAGAACTACATCTCATTGAAATCCCCCTCAAAGCAAGTACTACAATTTCAAGATGGGTTTTCAAGGATGGCATCACATTTTGGCTGCCCAGTGCCCACCACCATATACAATTTCCTAATCACTATTAATTGGAAGCATAGCTAAAAACCTTTTCCCAAAAAAACCAAAGGCATTAGAGATGTTCAGATTTAGAACCTAACATTGCTGAGAAGATCTAGAACACTTCACCTCAGCCCCTTGCTTTCTGCAACAGAGGAGTGAAGGCATGGCAAGAGGAATTAGCAGCAGCATTGGACGCCAATTCCTTGCAAGAATCAAAACCCACTTCAGAAACCATCTTCAAGAACTCTTCCAATCCCAGCCGTCCAAACTTGCTCTCATCCCTCTCGAGAAATCTCAAGATCTCTTTGAAAAACCCAACCTCGCAAGGCAACACGAGGCCTCCGCTGCACCCGAACCCGAACTCTTCCTCGGCCTTTTTTAGTAATCCGACGAACACCGGGAGGTTCACGAACCGGGCCTGGATCACGAACCGGATTCGCTCCGCTCCGACGTAGACCGCTAGAAAACCGGCGGGGATGCGCCGGTTCGAACCGGACGGGAAGGGGCCCGAGTCGTCGTAGGAGAGGACGGAGCGGCGGCGGAGGCTCGTTAGCTTCCAGCGCATCACGAGTTGTTTTAGCCGGACTATCTGGCGGATCTTCTCGACCTTTTTCATGGCGGTCGCCATTTGTTGCAGAGGGAGACGGAGAGAGAGCGCTGCGTAGTTTGGATTTGAGAAAGAGAGAGAGAGAGAGAGTGTGTGTAAAAGAAACTGAATAACCCTTGAGTACGGGAATGGAGTCCGTGATTGGGAATGATTGTGTTTTATTTTTGTGGATTGACTAATTTGCCCTTTTAGATGATCTTCCTTATTTTAATTTAATAGTTTTTTTATTTTTATTTTTATTTTTATAAAAATTATAATAATAGCTAATTTTTAAAAATCTCGATATTACGGATTAATTATTATTTTTAATTGTTTTTGCGGTTGTATTTGTTTATCTTATGGTTACCTCTCTCTAATTATGTGACTAATTACGGTACGAGACATATAGAAATCAGATTGTATTTGTTTATATTTTTATCATATTGGGATGTATTGGTGGATAAAAGAGTGATGAACCTGAAACACTTTTATAGGCATGTAAGTCGGTTATTATCTCAATGAACCTTAATACTAGGCACATTATCATAGAAGAATATGTAGTATGTAAAACTTAAAATAGTTAGAAATATGCATGGATGTAGAATCAATTTTCTTTTTTTGGAATATTAGAGGGAACGGAATATTTGACTTATCCGAATCTTAATCCGTTATCTTATCGCCTTCATTATTTGCGCTAACACCAAGGGAGTGGAATTAATTTAACGTAGCCACAAAAGAGTAAAAACTTTATCACCTTATCAACATGAAAATCATTCTTGTTTTGAAAGGAATGGAAGACTTGTTTTGAAACATTACGAAATTTATTTCAACCTAAAAAATGATGAAATTTATGGCTAAAGGGAAGAACTTGGGATTGAGGAGGGGCCTCCCTGGGTTTACCCTCTCTTCGCTCATGATTTGATATGATTCGTTATTAAGTTAATAACTCGATGGAAGAAAAGAGCAATAGCTAGTAGGTCAATTTGAACTCCTTGAACAAAGCTAAGACAACCATGACTATGCTTGAAATGCAACTGTATTCGTATGCCCGCGTGGTTTGTGTTTGTAATTGAACTCTTTTTGTATAAAAATAAATAAATAAAAAATGTATTTGAATGCCCAAAAAATACAAACTCTTTTCTTTGTAACATATTCAATCTGACGAAGTTTTTATGATACATTAGATTTAACACATGCTTTTTTTTTAATTTATTTATTTATTTATGATACATTAGATTTAAACATGCTTAACTAAAGTAATTTTTCAATCAAGTTGTGTATGTAGTTTGAATTATAATAAAAATAAGTTAGCAATAACCATTTGCTCTAGTGCACATAGGTTCAAATTTCATAAACAATAGTTGTTCAATTAATAAAATAAATACATGTATGGAATGTCCCATATTGGAAAGTTGAGAAACATATCAAGAGTTTATAAGGAGTTGTACTACTCTCCTATTACCAGCTAGCTTTGAGGTGGAACCTCAACTTCTTTTAGACTATAAGGCCATCTCCAACCCATGAGGCCAAACCCAAAATATTCTAAGTTTTAACCCATATGCAAGGAGGAATCAATAGAGCGCCATGTGTCACGCTGCTGGTGCCGCATATGCTGTCGTAACACTTAAAAAAAAATAATATCTAACAATGACCCAAATCAACGATCCATATTAAATGCAAGCTATTTTAACAGTAAAAAAAAGATCAAACGACTAAAATTTAAATCCAACGGTTAAAATAATATTTTAAATTAATCTAAATCATATCCAACCCCAAAACTCACTCCAAACTCTATAAATACCCACCTATTTCTCAAATAAAATTATATTTATGGAATTTCAATTTTTTTAAGGTCAAATTGTTCAAAAAAATTAAATTATAAAGTTATTTGAAAAAGATTAAATGAAGAAAAGTTATCCATGAAAAAAAAATTTAGACTTAAACTATTTTTAAACAATTTAATAAAGTTGCAGACTTAAAATTTGAGTAAAGAGTTGGGAAAAAAAAGGGTTTGAATGTGAAAGCCCATATTTTTAAATATGTATATTAATATTTCATGAGAATTAAATAATTATAATTATTAGTTTTCAATACTATATATATATATTAGTTGTATGGCAATCCACGTGAATCTAGCTATAGCCTATCAAATCTTATTATATGGCTTTAACTATATCAATTCATTTCAACCTTATTTAATATTCATTATATACACACACTTTTTAGAAAGGTTTTTCTTGCTTACTAAGCTTTCTCTTATAGATTGACGTGTTGCATTATGGAGTCCTTAAAAACCAATTAAAGCATGAGGTGTAAGAAAAATAGGTATTCTTATATAGGGTTAATCACAGCAATGGTCCCTCAACTATACCCGTATTTACACTTTGGTCCCTCAATTCAATTATTAGTTGCAGGGGTCACTCAACTAGGTGCTATGTTGCACCAGTAGTCCTTCCGTCAAACTCTGTTAAATTTTCTGTCAAAAATGAGGGTAAGTTTGGAAATTCATCCACAACCCCTCCCTCTCCTCCACAACCCTCCCTTTCTCTCTCTGAGCGAACTTAAAATTTGCAGCCCCATTGGTGTAGAACAAAAGAAACCCTCTGCACATCCCTATCCCCAGCAAACAATAACCTCATGAATATTCATGGTCCCAACCTTTTAAATTGAAACAGTAACCTCCACATAACCACCATTAATCCCGATTCCAACCACCTTCTGGTTACCATAAAACCCAACCACCCTCTTTCTCTCAGTGACTCACTCTCTCACTCGTGAAATACAAGTAAAAACACAGAGCAAGCAAACCCCAACTCGGAAGCTCTAACTCACTGAGTCAGACATGGCGGTGGCCTCCACATCTCTCGCTTCCCAACTCTCTGGCCCTAAATCCATCTCCTCTTACTCCGGTCTGCGACGATCGTGCTCCAAGTTGGACCATACCTAGTCTCTCTCCCTCTTCCAACACCTTCACTCCCAGCTCCGCCTCTCTTCCTCCTCCCACAAAGCCTCCAGAGGCATCCTCCAAAATTCTGGGTCACTTAGATTCCATCCTCTTGCTAGAGTGATCTCAGATTGCAGCAAGTTTGTAGATCAACTTGGTAACTGTGGTGTTAACCATGTATACCGTGAGCAAAATTGTGTGGCTGACTGTCTAGCCCAGGCTAGCTACAACAGTGATATGGGCATTTGGCCCCTTGAATTTGCTCCAGATTGGATTGGCACCTTATTAGCTGAGGATGCGATGGGAGCCTCTAAGTCCCGCTGGGTCTGCTTGGATTTTAGTTAGTTTTGTTTCTTTTGCTGGGGCCCTGCCCCCCCTATTCAACAAAAAAAAAAAAAAAAAAGAGGGTTGTGGATGAATTTCCAAACTTACCCTCATTTTTGACAGAAAATTTAACTGAGTTTGACGGAAGGACTACTGGTGCAACATAGCACCTAGTTGAGTGACCCCTGCAACTAATAATTGAATTGACGGACCAAAGTGTAACTACGGGTATAGTTGAGGGACCATTGCTGCGAATAACCCTCTTATATATATAAACTTAATTGGAGAGTGCTCACTAAGCACTCTAGAAAGCCTACACATAAGGCTATTTGGGGTAGCAGTTTACCTTCAAGCCACCCAAGTAGTGTAGCAACCTATAGGCTAGTTATGTGGCATAATATTAAGCTTCATCTATATATCTTTGCTGACTCTAGCTTACTATAAATAGCCCTATCTAATAGTTCTTGGATCATAGGTTCTTCAAGTTGTGTTAGTTTCCTAAACATCGTAGACAAAAGGAAAAAAGAGAGTGAGAACTAAGTGTGGTGAGATTTTGGAGAAGCTCAAAGTGTTTGGACTTACAACTGGGAGTTATACAATAGCTTTGGATTTGAGGTAGGGGTTTTTCTTGGGGAGGCTTTACATAAATTGATTTAATTAAATATTGTGAACACTATATTATGCTTGGTAACATTGTTTGATTATTATCCTTGATATTGGGTGTTTACATGTTGTCAATTATCATTATAATTTGATTAATATTGACATGTTCATATGTTGTCGGTGGTGGTTGGAATTTTTAGGTTGATAAAGAAATTATGGAAAAGAGGGTAATAGGAAGGATCTTTTGTGTAGTTGAGTCTGACCATTGTAGGGACCAAGTTCAGGCGAGCCCGTATGCACAGTAGACTAGGAAATCAGTGGTATAATTGTCGATTGGGTGATTTGGGCTTGGAGATCAATGGTGTGGACAAGATGACTAACAAAAGGGGAATTATGAGATAATTGAGATGGGTGTTAGTTTATATAATGGGGCATTCAGAATCACAATGGTAAAATGCATGGTATGTGACGTGCATATTTGCTTGCCTTATTATATAGATTAACGAGTTGGGTAAGAATTGAAGTTCATTCATGCATTGCATAAATTGTACATTATAAATCTCACTAATCACATAAGACATAGGTGTTATAGTATGTAGAGCTAGGATTGTGACAAGTGTCACTTAGTCATTGATTGATGTTAGATTAGTTAGTAAACTGTTGTAATCAGTTAGAGCCTTATAAAGCTTAACTCTCTGTATTGTAGAGTAATATGAGAAATAATACAGAAAGGTTCATCTTCTTCTTAATTTTCTCTCTATTTTTCCCTTTCGTTAACATGGTAACAAGAGCCATGGATCGATCCTGCGTTCTTCTGCTTCCGCTTTCTATGCCTTGACATTCTTTTCTAGAACTTCATGGAAATCGACGTCTATATCTGATTCTTCCACTTCATTCTTGAATTATCAATTTCATCAAACTGCCTTTAGTGTTTCTATTCAGCTTGTTATTTGGGATTTTTCAGTCTCATATTTGATTCGAGGACGTCTCAATTGGGGTTTGTTACTGATTTTGGGATAATACTCAATTGATACTCGGTTTTGGGAATTTTCAATGTACTTGATCAATTCCGAGCTTTTCTGCTTCCCCCTTCCAATCTCTACTCATCTTTGTTCTCTTGCTTCTGGTTCTTTGGCTTTTCTTTCTTCACGATAGTGCCAAGAATTGTTCTTTACGCTTTGCCTACTACATGTTCACTCTATTGCCTCATCGACTGTTCTTTGCAACTCTTTCTTTCTTTTTGTTGTTCAACAAGATGGTGACTACAAGATGGTGACTCATACTCAACTTCAACTTGTTCAATCTCCGATTGCAACTCTCATTCCTACTATTTCTACATACATCTGTGACAGTCAAGCTTGATGATACAAATTATTGGACTTGGCATTTCCAAATGAATCTTCTTCTTGAAGGTCGTGGCCTCTTGGGTTTTGTGGATGGTTCAAGGAAATGTCCTGCACATTTTGATAAAGATTTAGATATTGAAGGTGTTGAGATTGATGCTTATCAAGTCTGGAAGATGCACGATCGTGCCTTGATGCAGCTTGAGACAGAAAAATTATGTGCCTTATATGCAAGGCTGAACCCAACTGTAGAGAAACACTCTCATGCAACGGGATATCACTTTTTACTATCCCGACCAATAATGCAATGATATATTGGCTAACTTTTTCACGTGTCATTGTGTTATTGGCCAGAAATAACAAAACAGTGCTATCCATATTAACAAAAAGTGTTTTTTTGGCAAAAGTTGGCACTAGATTAGAAAAGAAAGGGAGCTTAAAGTCCACATTTTTGCACTCAAATCTGGATCTAAAATAGTAGCCAAACCTCTCTATGATTCTGCCCTCACTATAAGTGCATATTCCATTTTCAAAAGAAAGATGCATTTTAGGCTGAAAAAGCCCAAAAACCACTCAGGGTTGGGCCCGACTTAGACAATGTCTTTCTATAAAGATAAAACGAGCAAATTATCTTATTGGGCAGTGGGCAATAATTTTCTGAAGTGATGTTCCCTTCCCGTTTGACAACAAAAATGGTAATGTTATAGTCTTTTTGTTTGGTCGAAAATCGAAATATAAAGCTGCTGCTGTAAACAAAAAGGATGATACGTGTAATTTACTTGAAAATAGTTGATTTGACGTTTTAACCGGATATGCCGCTCTGGCCTACACTGACTGTCGAAGAAGGTAATGATTTTTTCTTCAATTTCATATCATCTCCTGAGATCCACAAATCTTTTACGTTAAAGCTAAAAAAGCTTCTGCATTTGCATTGGGATCGATTAGATTGGCGATTCTTAGATCATTTGGGAAGATGGGTGAGTGGTCTTGGCCTTCTGAAGCTCAGGTACTCTTTGATCCACTGAGATTTTATATGGGTTCTTTCTTTCTCCTCTCTTCTGCTCATGTAACAATCTTATCAGTGTTGTAAATAGTGTATGGGATAGTGCATTGTTGATCCACCAAATTCCAGTTTCTTGGTACGTGTATGTTGAATTGAAGTCACTAGTATATCAATGCCAACATTAGCACTGTTTAGCTGACATGTTCTAGCTTTTGGAAGCAAGAACTGGGTTGTCATTGGTTCCTCAAAAGCAAGGGAACTAACTTTTGAATGCTAATTAACCTTGCCTTAGAATTATCTTCACTGTGGGTTGAATTATTTGGATTATATAAAGCTTGGGTTTTATTTAGAAACTTGATGGGTATGTTAGCATGCATTGTTTCTGGCCTCTGTTTAATCATTTTGCAATGCGGTCTGGATCAAAAATATTATTTTGTGTGCTAATTATATTTATGTGTATTGCAGTTAAATGGAATTAGGCAGACAGTTTCAGAAATGGCTGGGAGAGGTATCGAAGACGTTCGGGTTGTAGTTTCTCCTTATCGAATTTGTCCATTAGGAGCTCATATTGATCACCAGGTTAGTTTTCGGTTTCTTTCGATGATATGCACATGTTGACCTCTTGATGATCTAGTTTTCAGTAAAATTTTAAATTTTATTTGTTGTTCATCTAAAAAAGTTTGTTTCCATATGCTTTTTGAGGTTTTCTGTAGCTGTTAATTTATTACCTTTTGATTACTAAGTCACTGTTCATAGAATCGTATGTAACATTTTACCAGTGCATGTTATTGGTTAATTTGCTAGTTTCTATTAGGCTTTCTGTTAGATGCCAAACTTTGTTGTTTTCATTCTATTATTTTTTGGGTAATATGTCAAAAAGCTATGTTCACCTATTTTAAATGGTTGCAGGGAGGGACTGTATCAGCTATGACAATTAATAAGGGAATACTTCTAGGTTTTGTTCCTTCCGGTGACACTCAGGTAACTATAAAATATATTCTTTTAATGAGTCTAGAAAACCAGTGATGATGCCCAAAAATCTTGGTCAACTAGTTTTACTTTATACAGTATTTAATATGAAAACATCACTCTAATTAACAAGTAATAGCAGACTGAGGTCAACAAATCATTTTCTTTGAAAGCATAGAGCCTTTTTCAGTTTTTTTATTTATTTAAAATTGTTATTGAATGAACAAGAATAAAGAAGAATTTAAGAAGATGTGAAATCTCTGGAAATGCAACTTAATTAGGATGCGCAATCTCAAACCTTATATGAATTTGGGGGTTGCTGAGTGTGTACCTACAAGGTGCAATAATGTACATCAATATGGTTTAGGGTACATTGACCAGGGCAGCTTCTACCTTACCGGGTCTGCTCTTCCATTTTTTCATCTAAGAAATCCAGGAGTTTCCTTGATGCATCCATGGTTTGTTGACTGGGTATTAAATTCCTGAAGGTCCTCAAAAATGGGCACTTTGCAATCTACTTGTACTTGTTGATGTAAAGAGGAGATTATTAAGCTGTTATCCCTGTCCTTTAATTCTGACAGCAGATTATTAGGTTGTTATCCATGTTTTTGTTAAACCATAAACCGCTGAGTAATTTCTTCTTCTTGTTGTTGTTTTGTGTGTGTGTGTGTGTGTGTGTGTGTGTGTGTGTGTGTGTTCTCCTTTTGAAGTTTGAACTCCAATAAAGTTGTGTTTGGTGCAAGCTTTTCACCCAGCTTGGCGGCTTTGCTCTTGCATTGGTTTTAATTCAGTTTGTTTCAGCACACGCCACTTGTTCTTTGCTTTGTTTGACCTTATTATTTGATTCCTAGCACCTACATATCTGTATTACATAAATTGTGGATCCCAACTATAGTTTGATTGAGTCTCTGAGACCTTCAATGAAGATTGAATAGTTTTTCCGTACCTAAAGTCTCTGCCCCTCCCCTTCGTCTCTCATTGTGTGAGTGCCATGGTTGAATGACCCATGGAGTATCTCACCATGACATATGTGTTTTTGGTTGCTTGAAGATGCAGTGGGATCATTATTGGTCATGAGAAAACCAAAATCTTAATATTTTTATAATGCTTTGGGACTATGAATGATCCATAGAGTATCTCATTATCAAATGCATGATTTTGTTTGCTCAGATATGAAGTTGAATCATTGTTTGTCATGAAGAACAAACTCTTGAAATTCTGTGAATGCATTGAAAATATGGGATTATTGAACAAAAACTTATACTAGAGAAACTTTTAAACTAAACTATGAAATTTGAACTTTAAAGTTAGTTTCCTCATATTCAATTCTGATTGTTACTTCCATTGTCATCTGCTTGCTGAGTCATTGAATTCTTGCTGTAGGTTATACTGCGTTCAGGACAGTTTAAAGGTGAAGCTAGGTTCAGGTGTGGGGTCTTTACTCCTGGTATTTCTTAATTTTATGCGTTCTTTCGTTTATTTATTTCAAATCCATGCTTACTGAGTTTCTACAGTTCTATCAAAACTGGAAAAAAAATTACACCTTTTAAAAAATAGCACTTTTTATATAACTTTTCAAGGGTAGCCAAATATTAGGTGCTTGGGCCTTTCGGTTTGTTACGTAGGCCTTTGTTTTAGTGCATAGGCCTTCAGTTTGCTGCGTGGACCCTATGTACCCAATCTTGAGTATTCCTATTTTATATGTATCAACTTTTCTTAGTAAGTCATTATTTTACTTGCATTTCATTGTGTAATCATGTGCCATCTGGTGAACTTGATTATTTCGTATTGGTTTTTTAGAGTTGATGAAGTTCAATGCCCTAGGAAGAATGCAAATGATGCTTCCAAAATAGAAATAGATGAAGAAAGCGATTGGGGAAGTTATGCAAGAGGAGCCCTCTATGCATTACAGAGTAGGCAGAACTCTCTTGTCCAGGTTAGAGATATGTCTTTAATGACCTTCTTCTCAATTCTTTACTTTTTCTTCTTCTTCTGATTAGTAAAATAAATGTTGATTTATTGAACATAATATTCCATGCACTTCTTAATTGGACTATGATAACTTTTTACTAATTTTTTTTTCTAAGAAAGATAAAGAAGTGACAGAGATGGGCATTTTTGTTGGAAACTTGTCTGCATATAATCTGTTTTCTGATGGTTCTATGCCATCTTTCATTAAACAGTTAATTATAAGATGAATTGTTTCACTTCTTGTAGGGTATCATAGGATATATAATAGGTCCTGAAGGTATGGACAGTTCAGGCCTGAGCTCCTCTGCTGCTGTAAGTTTGTCTAACTTGTTGTTTCCTTTCTTGTTAAATGATGACAATAAAAGATGATTGCATACAAAATATTCTCATTACGCCTTAGGTGCCACTATATATGAGTTTTGTGTCAAGAAATGCCATGTATTATTACTCTTTGTAAAATCTACAGAGTTTGATTTATTGCTTACTAGGGGTATTTCTTGTATACCTTTCTTGGACTAGGTTTGCACCTTGCCTTTCTGGAAAATATTTACTACTAGTGTAGAAAAAAGAATGATTTGTTTTATATTTCTTTTTAGGCGAGAGAAGTAGTAAATTAGGACTATATTTAAGAGGTCAAACTTAGTTGACTGATTTTATCTTCCGTTTCAAGAAGTTCATACACAAACAAAAACAAAAAGCACATACATTAACCAGTTGCCATTTGTACAATTCTACACTGTTAGAGTTATATGAAAATGTAAGAAATTATGAGTTTTGAAATTTTAAAGGATAAAGATTCAGTTGAAAATCCAACCCATTAGTAGCTACCATTATTTTTGGCCACTGGGGTTAGGTTATAATTCAGAAATTTGTAGATGAAGGCATGCTACCACGGCTGCATCAGTTGAGACTTGGTGTTAGTTGCTCGGAATCAGTGTGAACTTACAATTGAAGTGAAACTCTTTATGTAAGAATTAGTCAAATGCGGAATTTTTATCAGTAAAATTATATTGTTTAAAGACTGTTTCTGTAGTATACATCTTGTGGAGCTTTTAATTTCTTTATTGAGGAGAGTTCCTCCCAGTGACATTCAACCCATTAATCTTACACTTACATGTTGACAGGTCGGCGTAGCTTACCTAATGGCTTTGGAAACTGCAAATAACTTAGCTGTGTCCCCTGAAGAGAATATTGAGTATGATCGGTAGGTTTCTTTAACATTTGAGGGGCCAATATGCTGGCCAACAATTAGTTTATACTTTGGTACACACTTCCCTTAAGAGTAGACCTCTCTCCAGTTCTAGAGGGTCCAACGCATGAAACTCAACTTATATTGGAAGGTTGCAATTACAGGCTTTCAAAATCAGGATCACCTGCTTTGATACCATGAAATTTTCTGGTTTACTACCAGTTCCAAAAGCTTAAACTGTTAGGATGTGGGCCAACAAGTAGTTTATATTCTATCAGATGTTTTTAAAAAAAATTTACTTTTGAGCCCAGCATTGAGAAGTGGTCTCCTTGTTTACTATCTTTGTACTGCTTTTTTTTTTAATGAAAAGTTCTATTCTCATAAAAAAAAACTCCCGTTTAATCAACTTGATATTCATTTATCACATAGGATACCACTAGTCTGTGTCTTTTTGCCCATCCTATTCCGGTACAGTTATTTATGTTATATTTATATACAGGCCCTAATATAGAACTTTACAAGTACCACTCTTCTACATTTCTTTCACCATCAAACCATTAATGGTTTTAATTTTGTGTTGTATGTAGGCTGATTGAAAATGAATTTTGGGGCCTGCGAAATGGGATATTGGATCAATCAGCCATATTGCTTTCAAGCTATGGTTGTCTATTGTGCATGAACTGCAAGGTAGTGCATGAAATGTCTGTATTTGATGCTCTTAAAAAAAAAAAAATCCTCTGGATTGACTTCATTTCCACTGCAGAGTCTGATTCTATTGCTGATATGTTGGTCATGTTTATTTCAGTTTTTTGTGCTTTCTAATTTGAGGCATTCTGCATTACTGTTACATTATGTTGACTTGCATGATCCAGCCATCTTCATGAATTGCTTAACTATTATGTTGAATTTCTGATGTATGGGTGATTTCTTATAAAAGTAAACATTTTGGCTGCTGCTTTCGTAATGATCCTGGTAGACAGATTTGTTTGTGTCTGATATCAGATTACATCATAAATTTTCTAGATTTCAGCAATGATTTCTAGTATTATACATAAAAGGCTTAAGCATATGATTTCAGAATTACAGGTTTAAATTGTGATTATAAATGGGTGGACACACTATGAAAATCAGTCCACTTCCTTCAATTTGAAAGGTTGTACCAAAGAAAGCTATATGCACTTATTTTTTTTTTAATAACATCAACTGCAAGAACTTTGAAACAATTAACATTTGAAGTTTAGACTTCAATTTATACAATGGAAAAATTCCTACTATGTGATAGCTTGTAACAAAGAAAGCTGATTGAATAAATTCACATACTTCAACCTCAAGAATTTAGAAAATTAAATTTGAAGTTTATATATAAAATTATAAAATGGGAAGAGAAAATGGGGTCTACCTTGAAAGAAACAGGAAGACTTACCAAAGTTAATCCAAATTACCAATAAAAGAGAAGTTTGTCTGCCCTCAAAATATAATATGCTATCCTTATCAGTTAATGCTTTTATTTGTCAGCCAATTTTTTTTTCCAGGTTGTGCATTTGCTATACTAGGAGTTGGTCTGATATGGGCTATTCATTTGCCTGATCTATTTCTTTTATGACCGCATATAGCATATTCTGCTCTAATTTTGATTAATAGCAACATGATGTCTCATATATGTAGTTTGCATGTGTAGACTAAAGAACATAAGCTTATACACCCACCAAAACTGGGAGAGAACCACGAGACTGAGTGGCAGAAAGCATACAAAATATTATTGGCATTTTCAGGCTTGAAGCATAATTTGACTGTAAATCCTGGATATAATCGTCGAGTTGCAGAGTGTCAAGAGGCCGCGGCAGTTCTTTTGCAGTAAGATCCATTTCCCTTGTTATTGAGAACAACTGGCAAGAAAGAAATAGGCGTAGTTCTTTTCGTATTATTGTTAAAATGCTGTGTCCAACTCCAAATATATCTTCCTCTTGTTTAGACTATGACGTCCTGGCTGACATTCTTTTTTCTCCTTTTTGACCAGTGCATCTGGAGATGGTGCAGCAGAGCCACTCCTATCTAATGGCTAGTACCTTTACCTGACCTTTGAGTTTAATTTTCGTTGATATTATTTGCGTGATGATATTGATTGACTTCCTTTTCCTCCTACAAGCAGTTGAGCCAGAAGCTTATCAAACTCACAAGGTAAGAAAATTTGTCTAGAGCTTTTGCCGTAGAGATTCTTCTGGTTCATGGTGTGTGCACACACAAGTCCATTATTATATTGTATTTCAAAGTCTTTGGAGCATAGGCATGTCCTTTTGGTTTGATATCTTGCAATTGTTCATATTGCTGGCGATCTGTGTTTCTCACAAGCTGGATTTGCCTCTTAAGGTTGATTCATTACCTTCCTTGCATTTATCACTAACTTATGTTTCCTTGATTCTCCAACTGCAAACTTCCTTGTAGAACCTCATATTCTTTGGTATATTGTATTATCCAGAAATCTCTTTGATTATTTTCCACCCTGGTTATGCACTAAGGCAGAGGGCTTTAGGTAATATATTATACCAATCCACATCGCGGACACAGCCCTAAAAGTGCCCCCTCGCTCCGACTCCTACATTTTGGGAGGCAGGAAACGCTAGACAGGTGTCTTTGGGGGTTTCGAACCTCAGACCATATGGGAGCAAACCATGGGCTTGAAAATTCCAACTAACCCCACGTTAAGATCATGGACCACTAAGCTTCTATGTTTTTAGTAAGAGCAATTGTTCAACCCTATAATATCTCTACAGACCTTGTCACTCCATGATTAGAGGTACCATATGGCATAGCACCTACAGTGTTTCTTCATGGGTGGGAATGAGTATTGCATGTCACATGTAATTTCATGGAGAAAAAAAATTCTTTTACTCTAAGAAGTAGGATTTCATTCTTTCTATTAATACTTTCCTAGTCTTTCATGGGTTGAAAACTCCCTTACATATTTAGATTTTGTTTCTCTTTGGATCAACATATATGCTTTTTACCCTATGTTACTGTGTGTAAAAGTCATGCCCAGTGGTGTGCCTCAGAATGCATACTTGGAGGCTTAAAGAATTTGCACTTTTATGAGGTCTTCTGGGAAAACTTCTTTCCTCATCTTTTTTACTCCAGGGTCTGGCTTCACCTGTTTAAACACACACACAACAAGAAAAATAGAAAAGCATTCATTCTTCGTAAAAGGGCCTCACTTTTTATTTGCATTTCGTGAATACTTAAACTAGTCTCAAATTTGTATGTACACATATATATGTGCACAATTTCAGTCAATAATCATGAGACAGTTTTTCTTGTCAACATAATGTCAGAGGACTTAAATTCATTAAATTCATTGAAGGTATTTGGTGGATTAAAAAAGTGTTTGTTCCATATTCCAATTCGACGGCTTTAGACATGTAAATGAAGCTTATGTATCCTGTTATGATTTTATAAATATCTCTCTTGCAGCACATATTAGAACCTAATTTAGCCAAGAGAGCAGAGCATTATTTCTCAGAAAATATGCGGGTTAGCAAAGGTATTACCATATTTGCATGGTCAATAATTTAAATTACATATGCATGTAATTCTAATTTCTATGCTATTCTTTGCTCTATTGATTTATAACTACTTAACATTTTTCGATTGTTTCAGGATTCGAAGCTTGGGCTTCAGGCAGGTTCGAAGATTTTGGAACGCTCATTTCAGAATCTGGCCTAAGTTCTATTCAGAACTATGAATGTGGTATGATTTACTTTCCTTTGTTCGGTATGATTTACTTTCCATTGTTCATAGCTACTGTATGTTTTACCAAAGCATCCTCCTGAATCTTCCCTGATCATGGTGCATAAAAGATGATAACACAAATTAATTGGTCGTTAGGTTAATATTTAATTGAAATGATTAAAAGAATGAAGCGTATTTCCACTTATTAATATTAATAAGCCTATGTCTCTACATGGGCAATTTTGTAGGTAGTACCAATTATGGCTATGTTCGTTTTACTATTTTGTTGGTAGTCCAAACTGTAGACAGTCACCTGGTTCTGACAGACTGCGATGTATGCATTCTTAAACTAAGAAATAGGGTTTAATATTTCTTCAAGTGTCGTATAAACTAAGTCCTTTGTGCCAATTTTGATAAAAGTTTTATGTATCGTCCTTTATATGGCAAGTATCTTTTTCTCATGAGGGCAAGTAGGTATACCAGGATTAGATAATTCAAATGCTTCAATTCAGTCTAGGTCCTCTACTGATCAAAATAACTTAGTTTTCTAATATCTGTGTGGGCAGCATTGGGAGTCAATTGAATGACCCTTATCATTTGACTGTTGTCTCTTTTGAGCCTTGAAGTATTTTCTGCCCATAAAAGCGTAGGATCAGACTGATCTGCTTCTGATGGTATCTGTACTAACATGCACATATACCGGGTTATCCTGTATTCTTTCCATATAAATCACCATTAGAAATGACTTGGGCAATGCTTTCTCCTTGCTGGCTTTGAAATCATTTCGGCTGAAGTTTTACTACCAGTTACTTTATTTTCAACTTATTTTCCAAAAATTCATAAATTTGTCTTGATCATGTTGAAATTCTGACATCTGCGCAATTATAAAATTCCATAGAATTTCAACCTCTTGCTACCACCAAAATACTAACAATAGTTGAGAAAATGATATTTAGTTGTTTCAGTGACCTCAAATGCAAGCTAAGATTGGAGTTTGTAACATGGTCAATGGATTTTAACTTGATGTTGTAATTGTTTAAGGTTCTGAACCACTGATACAATTGCGCCAGATCCTTCTAAGGGCTCCTGGCGTATTTGGAGCACGGTTCAGTGGTGCTGGATTTAGAGGGTGCTGTGTTGCACTGGTAGATACTGATCATGCAGCTGAAGCTGCAACATTTGTCAGGGAAGAGTATAACAAGGTCCAACCTGAGTTGGCAAGCCTGTTAAACCCAGACACGGCGGTTATGATATGCGAGGCTGGTGACTGTGCCCGTGTTATTTGACGACTGTTTATCGATTACTTTCATTTGTTCAATTGTTTCATTATTCATTCATTGTTGTAAACCTTTGAACTCAAGGTTCATTAGAACTAGCAAATACAAATATAGGATTTTGAGCATGCACAAGAAAGCTTATATATGTGGAAAAGTGAAAGAGCTTCTGGTTGTATTGAACTCATATATATATACAGAAAGCTTCAGTTGAGGGATCCCTCAAAAAATCATGTACACTAACCATCTTACCAAGGTTACCGCCACCACCCGAACTGCCCATGGTCACCACCACTGCCATCATCTCAACTATCATCACTCTCGGTGGCGGTACCAAGATTTCATATGTGGGGGAGGGGGAGAATACATGCCAAAGTAACCAAGAGGACCAAAACATCATATATGTAATTATCATTTTACTACTATGAAATTGTCCAAGTTTCAGCCTTCGATACATAAAGTTTCTTTTCATCTTAGTCGCATGCATAATGTTTAATTCCATATCAATTTAATACACTCGTTAGTCAATCCCTCCGTTAAAACACTTAAATGGAAATTAATACGTCCACATGGACACACACATATTGTGCCAAATGGAATAAACATAAAAATCTAATTAAAATAAAGATAAAATAAAAGAACTCACAAATTATTTTAAAATAAATAAATAAATTTATAAAATGATAAATCTTTTTATATATAATTATTTTATATTATAAATTATAAATTAATACCAAAATCATGCAAAAAATAAAAAAAAGAAAAAGAAAGGACATATACATTATAAAGTACCATAATTTTTATACAACAGGGGGACAAAGTTAAGCATAAAGCATATAATAGTGCTACAAAAAAAAACTTATAAGTTAAGCATAAAGCATAATTTATATTTAAAATTAAATTATCAAACAAGCATAGTTTAAGTTATATTTATAAATAATTTACAATAATTAATTACTATTTTTGGAACTAGTTCAGAAGCTAGGGCTTTTGGTTTGAAACTTGGATTTAGGGTTTGGAAGCTAAAATCTATTTTTGGAATATTAAAATAAATCTTAATATATTTTTGGGTACTTAAAATAATTTCATAGGATTTTTAAATAATGGAATTTTAAAAATAATTTTTAAAGTCTACAAAAGACTTTAATAGAATTAAATATTATTTATCAAGTAATTTCTGAAATCTAATTAAAATATTGAAATACTGATTTTTCACTAAGCAAATAATAATTAAAAGCTAATTACTAATTAAATAAAATGAAAAAAAGGGCAAAGCGCCTAGGCGGCCGATGTTTCGAACACTGCTTGGCAAATACCAATGAAATCTGATTGTTGAAGATCTCTTGCTTCTTAATTACTTTGGAAGAATCGAGTTCCTTGGACGGTGGATTATTGCAGGCACCTGATGTTGACAGTGGATCAAGAGACTTTGTGAGATTGATAGTCGGGAGAAATTATAGAATAGTACTGTACTACCACCTCAGCTTATGATACTTCCATTAAAAATATGCCATGTGTCATGATTTTATAAGAATAAAGCAGGGTAGGTTGTGCAGTGTACAAGAATTTTCAACTTCCTTTTTTCGTTGTGTCATTTCCATTACAGCTATCATCACTCAACTGAATCAAGGCACAAGAATTTTCCTTTATAAAATAAGGTGCTTATAGTTATAAAAAAAAAAAAATGTTAATGCGATAACTGTATAACACAAATGATTAATCATCCCACTAAGCCCAGACAGAGTAGTGGGAGAGTGAAAGCACACATCCTTTCAAGCAGACACGCTTCTCATCTATGGTACTTTATCCTTCTCCCTTCCCTTATGCTAATAATTTCTTGGTTCACTTACATTTTTCACTCTTGTCGCATACTCGAAGAACAAGAGTGCAATCAAGGGCCAAGTGCAGCAAACATTATTAGACAACTAATGAATCCTGAAAATTAGTTTTAGTTGCATCAATGTCATAACATGTCAACAATGAATATCTCACAAACAATTAGTTGTAGGCACGCATTAATGTTGGAACATGTCGATAATGAATATCTAACAAACAATTCGCCGTCTTGCACGTTAATTTGAAGAGTAATGCTACTTTTACCACATTTGTATACCACATTCTCATATCACCTTATGTGACAGATGAAGTGGATAGTCGCATCAATTAAAAAGTATCAATAAATCATAAAAGAAAAGAAAATGTTAAATTAATTTTAATTTATATGATTGTCCACTTCATCTGCCACATAAGATGATATAGGAATATGACGTACAAATATGGTAAGAGTAGCATTATTCCAATTCGAATCCCCCACCCTACTGACTTAAGACTATCATTTTGTAAAAAGAAAACAACTAGTGTTAAGTGCATCAAATACAATCCCACACCTTTTCTATATATTCTTAATCCATCACTGAGCATCTTGTCCATTGCTAATTGTTAGTGTGTCATTTCTATCCATCGTTTTTGATATATGGGACCTGAAAACCAATATGTGGTATCCACATTAAGGGCTATTTTTGGCATTACAGGAATAAAAATGTTAAAGAAACCTATCATGATTCATGATATAAAAAGCCAGGGCACTCATTAAAAGATAAGGACATTTAGCCATTGAGCTAAGTGTTTCATAACACTCACAAGAGAACATAATAATACGTAAATCTTCAAAGAATATTTGATTAAATAACTGACCACCTGGAAAATTCAGAGCCACAAGTAGTTAAATTACCAAAACATTAGTGGGCACTTCAATTATAGGCTTGAATATAAATGCTTTCTTTATGGCATTTTGCAAGTGATTTGACATGGTTCAAATGATACTTAGAAGAATTAAATAACGTGTTGAAATTGCTGTGATAAACATGGTCATACAGCTCAGACTGCATTATGTGTCACTCAACACGATAAAACATTTGAGGAGCTTACTAGTAGTAATAATCTCTGAATTTGTGCCCAATTCGCATTTTATACCAGTGATTTGACATTGTTCAAGCAAAAAAATTAGTTTACTCACATCCAATGATGCTTGCTCTTGAATCTTGACTTTGAAGAATTAAATAACATGTAGAAACTGCTCTGATAAACATGGTGACACTGCTCGAACTACATTATGCATCACCTAACACAAGAGAGGGCACCTTAAATATTGAAATGACATTTGAATTTTTTTACTTAATACAAAATTCCTAAATTTGATTATTATACTCTATTATTTTACATATTACATTAACTATCTACTATTATTACTACAAAATTTAGAGTCAAAATAACATTATTAACTATCTACTATTATTACTACAAAATTTAGAGTCAAAATAACATAAAAAGAGATGTAGAAGGGGTAGTAATAATAGTGAAAAGAGAGACAAGAAAAACATAAAAAGGGCCTCAATAAAATTTGATAAAAGATTGGTAATTGTGTTAAGAAAACAAAGGCCTCAACAAAATTGAGAGGGGAATAGGAACCCCTACCCCCGCGGCTCTTAACTCCCTCAGTTAAGTAGTAATAGTATTTGAATTTGTGCCCGATTCGCATTTTTGTGTTTAAATTAAAAAAAATAGGTGTTGTAGTCCCTTAACTTCACATTCGTTAACACTTTTGGAACCTCGGCACAAATTGATATGTAGTCCCTCACCTTGTGCCGCCGGCCGCCGTATTTTTCAACTACAAGTGAGCAAAATTGATATGTATAAATTTATATTGATAATATATATTGTTGAAATTGATTTTTTTTTTTTTTTTTATGGAATGAAATTTATGGATATGATAATGTAGATTGATTGAGCTTATAATTGATTGATAATGTGGATTGATTGAGTATATTGAATATTGATTGATATGATAATTTGGTATATTGATTATTGGTAGTGGGTTATTGACATTTTCATATTCATATAATAATTTGGATAAAAATTAATGATTGATTGAATTAGTTAATGTGTAGATTTATGGAATGATTCTTTAAAATAAAATTATCTACAGATAGTCCTTCTCCGTCTAATCCGGGTGGTTAAAATGCAAGACCGATTGAAGTAGAAGAGATATTGGCTAATCTTCAGGCAGACCCTGGACTAAGAACTTGAATGACGAATTATAGTCCTAATATTCGAGATGAGATCCGAAGAGCATATCTACAAAAAGGACCTTGTCAACCTAGAAGTCATAGATTCCCACAAACTAATCAATCAGGAATTAATATACGCTTCATTGCCCAATGGTTTGATGAGTTTGATTGGTTGGAATATAGTATAGCTAAAGATGTTGTGTTTTGTCTTCATTGTTATCTCTTTAAACCTAATTTTGATCAAGTGAGTGGTGACACATTCACTAGGCTAGGCTTTAATAATTGGAAGAAGGGAATAGAAAGATTTAACCTTCATGTTGGACAGGTTGGTAGTGTTCACAACCAAGTTAGAGAAGTTGCTTACAATTTAATGCATCAAACTACACACATTGAAGCAATTGTGATCAAGCAAACAAACCAAGCTTACACGGCTTATCACACTTGCTTGAATGCATCACTTAAGTACACTAGGTATTTGTTGCGACGAGCTCTTTCTTTTTGTGGTCATGATGAAAGTGTCATTTCAAGTAATAAGGGGAATTATTTAGAGCTCTTGCAATTTCTTGCTGATCATGATGAAAAAGTTAAGGCCGTTGTGTTGGAAAATGTTTCGGGCAATATAAAATTAATAGCTCATTCAATTCAAAAAGATCTTGTTAATTCTTGTGCCAAAGAAATCATTGGTCTTATCTTGAGTGATGTAAAAGATAGATATTTTTCAATAATGGTAGATGAAGCACATGATTTTCGATAAAGGAGCAAATGACGATGGTGTTGCGTTATGTGAACAACGAAGGACAAATAATTGAAAGGTTTGTGGGGGTCCAACATGTAACCGACACCACTTCAAGTGCACTAAAGGAAGCCATTGATGAATTCTTTTATTCTGAAAATTTGAGCTTTTCCAAGCTACGAGGACAAGGTTATGATGGAGCTAGTAATATGATAAGTGAGTTCAATGGCTTTAAAACAAAGATTTTGAGAGAACAATTGTGTGCATTTTATGTTCATTGCTTTACTCAGTAACT